CCAGTAAATCCATCTCGGACGTCGCTGGAAGAACTAAGGATATACTTTTGTCGTGTAAAAGCGAAAGTTAAAAATGTCCAATTGTTCTTTATTTTAATTTCAGATTTATCAAAAATCCAAGAAAACATGCAAGCGAAGTCGTACAAAAGACTTGTCAGTTTTGTCGCTGACGTCTCGAGGATTTTCAATAACTGTCGTTTGTACAACCCCAAAGACTCCTCGTTCTATCGCTGTGCCGAAGTAGTGGAGAGGTTTTTTGTACAGAAACTGAACACATTCAAGGCTACAAAACGGTGAAAGATGGTTGAAGTGTATAAAGTGCTTATCACACGAAATTTTCACCCTTTCTCACAGTCGATTTTCCCGCCATTTTGGGGGCACTGACTCTCCCACGTTTGAGAGTCTCCGCACCAAAAAATGCGACATATAGTTTTTTTGTATAATGATAAATTTACAGTTACAACTTTTAAAAGTCGCTTTTCACCTTGTTTGAATTGTCTAAAATCTTTAACGAGGGGAGACAGTACCCCAAAAATGGCGGATTTTGGCTTTCGTGAGAAATGCTAATTTGATTGCATTGCATTGCATTGCATTGCATTGCATTGCATTGCATTGCATTGCATTGCATTGCAAAGATCAAAATGACTAAATACACTCTCTGGTAGATTATGATTATTCAGCTCTGCATGGGGCTTTTCAGTGACCGAGCACAGCAAGTATTACGCTTATTTATATTACCTACTAAGCTTAGAACATTTGTAGCTCTCATCCTGCCCAAGATATTCAACTTTGTTTGATTATGCAAATATCAGCAGTGTGACATCACACCACATACCCTGTAATGAGATTTTTAATTTGAAGAGCATCACACAGATACGGAGGCCTAAGGATTAAATGTCACGATCTTTCTCATCAGCTGAAATACAACATTTCAGAACTGAAAAAACGCGGAGTAATTATAACTAGAGAATACTTTTGATTTATATGTAGTTCACAGGTATAAACTATTTTAAACTGGCCGTTGAGAAAGATCGTGACTGTATTTTTACTACCATTGTGTTCATATGAAAACCAGGCATTACCCCACACGATAAAACACTCTGTTATAGAAACTGATTATGTAGTGTGATGTCATGATATTTGCATATGAAACAAAGTTGAATATCTCGGGAAAGAAAAGAGCAACAAGTATTCTACCAAAGAGATCATATAGTCATTTTACAGTAAGCGAGCTTTGCAATTCAATCAAGAAAATATTGAGTGGAAATTCGTGTCATAATTAGCACTATGAGAAAATTCGAGTACAGATGCTGTTCATTGTTATGATCTGTTGTATTACATACTATGCAGTTAATATTCAGTGCATTGTATGGAAGTGTTTCCTGTAAAGTTGACGACAAAAAGGCGAATAAGAAGAAATAATTTATATTGGGAATCTGACTTGTATTCATATATATTGTGTTGATTGTTATGTTTCATATTAAAACGTGCTATATATTATTTTGTGATGGGATTTGAGTGGAATTGTATGTATTTTCCATATTTTAACATATACGCCGCTTAAAATTTATATATTAATTTTGCTAATGTGTATAACCGAGCCTCGTTATCGCGCTTATAATTTATATAATTTATGCTAAAATATATATAATCGAGCCTCGTTATCACGGACGAAAAATCAAAACTTTACAGTATGCGTTGGAATTTTCGAATGTTTTTATTTTAGAAAACTAAAGATGTAGCGGTCCAGAAGTAATAGGAATATGTTACGTTGCTGTGTTGCTTTTGGTTGTGTCATTTAACGGTTAATTGTCGAGCGAATAGCTAAAAATAAAGTGATATTTGTTGACCATTTTTGTGGGAGAACCGCGGTTTTCAAATTTGGGTATGTACTGTGTCATGTGTGTATAGCTTTATAACTTGTATATTTTCTGTACTGTAATTGAAGTTAGCAAACCTAGAAGTTACCTAGGGTATTTTCAAATGAATTGCATTGCTTTTAGCGTGATAGAAAGCACTATAATTCGTTTGCAATATGTACGTGTATTTCTGACAGACTATAGTCGGTATAATTTGAAGTATATATGGGTTTATATTTATTTATAGTCTGTATATTATGTTTATATTAAAATGTAATATGCGAACATTTATAAATATATGAGTAATGTTTAGTATGCTTATAAATATACTTGATTTGGTAGTTGATATTGAAGCTTTTATTCAAAGGGATTACCAGTAAGAGTTCCCCTGCTAGAAATTTCATGATTGGATATCAGAGACCTTCCAGTGTGTACATTCTGCTTGTTTACATGGTCAGGGTCTGAAATTTGATTTTTTTTTAAGTATCCACATGGATACCAAGGTTTTAAAATTTGGTATCTCTCCCGATAATCCAGTATCCTAAATATGGATACTTAACTCAGGGGCGGATCCAGTTCCCAAGCTGACTGATGCTTAAAACCTCGCATTTGTAGGGGGGTCCGGGGGTATCCTCCCCCTGGAAATTTTGAAATCTAGAACCTCGGAAATGCGATTTCCTGCGTTCTGAGCAAACTCTTTTGTTCCAATTCATACATCAGAGTCACAAAATTATTTGCTGCATTTTTGGAAAGCACGTAAAAAACTTGAACCTATATCACAAAAACAACATAATTTCTCCATATAAGAAAAAAAAATTGCTTGTACAAGTGTAATAGCAGCAGTGGTACATAAGTCTCCATTCAAAAATAGTCAGTACTGTGTTTCTTGTAGCCTTAACTTTTCTATTGAAAAACATTTCGGCAAAAAATCACGACAACGCAAATACACACTTACGTGTAATACACACTTGGGTGTATACAATGTGATCCACTAGTTAGACAGTGTTATTATGTTTCTTAACCACCTTCCCTGAGGCTTATTAATTTCCACTAATTTCCAATGTTCCATGAGTAAAATCTTCTAGCATTAGAATGGTGCATAAAGGTATTTTGTGCTCTAGTGGGTAAACTTATTTATATACAACTCTGTCTTATGCTGCTAATCTTACTCTGTATGGACAGTGTGGTTGACATCAGTTGGTCGATTTCATTAAATTCATTCACCCCTAGCTGCCTTTGACATGAACTGCATGGTGAATAGCCCACACTCTGAATACTGAGAATATTGCCCTGTGATCAGGAAACCAGTAAACTAACACACAACAAGCACTGGGTTTAAAAACTATTAGTATAACTAGGTACACACGACCACAAATTTTAAATCAATAGAGACTGTGTGTACATTGATTTAATGAACTATCTTAGTTGGAAATTGTTTGTCAAATGAACCTACCAAACTGTACAATCATGATAAACAATATACCATGACATAATTGAATCATGTCTTCTATCTGTTCCCTTTTGCCTGCCTTTCAACTAATATTAATATAGTATTCTTTTAAGATGTTGTCAATGTAGAAAGGCTGCACAGTAGTATTGATGAATATTTTCCCTGTGTTATTATATAAATGCACATCTTTGTCAAATATATCCATACACTTATCAATGGTAATCCTCAGGGTGCCATGCTGGCTATCCAAAACATAGTATTGGGACAATTAGCACTACAAACATATAATTTAATTAAATATATTTTCCAAACTATCCCACTTTTGTGAGCAAATTTCATAATTATATCCTATATACACCAGTTACAATTACATACAGTATTTATACCGTCCATCATTTTATCATTCTAAGATTAAAATCTGTCAGGAGAATGACATATACAGCTTACATCAAATTATATTTGCACAGACAAAGCATATATACTCAACTATGGTAGGCGAGCAAGCCCAGGTAATCATCTTTGTTTGCAAAATATCCAGTGTACAGTAATTGCCCAATAACTCAGGCAATGCAAAGCAATTAGACTCTTGTCATGAGGCATGCCAGCTCATTTCCATATAAAATGAAATGTAATAGGAGATACCACTGGAACTTGCAACTTGAACCAATTACCTTTCAATGTAAACTCCCCTTAGTCTTCTAACCAATATTGCATCACTATTAGAAATCTCATTGATATTAACCAGCAATATTATTATGCACTGTAATTACATACAGAGCCTGATGCAAGTCTTGACCCACACCATAGTTTTATTTTTAGTACCGGTATCCAATCAAAATGTGCCAGGAGAAATGTCAATTTCACATAATTTAACAACAAGCTAAATATAGTTACAATCACTAAATCTATAATTATTTAATTATATATAGCATTAACCAAAATATCAAAAAATACATTAAATATGGCATGAATACTCATGCTAGAAATAGCCAATCAGAGTTACAACCATAAAGGCAGCTGTAGGACACAAACGTTTAATAACATGTATATCAGGTCTTCATTTTTCTTTGCCCGCCAGGTGCTGTGAGAAAAATGAAGGTCTGGACACAGCTTATAATCCCATGTAAACAGAGATGAAATTTTCCTCAGTACAGCAAGGTGTCAAGTTTGGTATTGGGGCTGGTTTGACTTTAGACAAGCAAACCTATGTAAAGACTGTAAAATGTCAAACTATCTCATCCCCCCGCTAGTATAAGCAACAGTATTTAATAAATAGACACAAATTTAATTATTATGTTAACACATACAAATCTGCATTAACTGTGGAGCCCATTTTCCAGTTTATACACTTCTTGAACTGAACAATGTACTACAATGTAAAATATAGATAAATTTCACTTACTTTAGAGGCCTCAGTTCGATCGAGTTTCACATAGTGGCATTAGTGAGCATCTCAAAGTATAAATATACTTCAATTCTTGTACTCAGTTGAAAGATTAGATTCATTCCAAGCCTTGGTAATTAATTCGACTGTAAATTATTTGTTCTCCGTTTTCTCCGTCAATTTCGAGGGATATTTCTTCGCATTATAGCTCATTTGCATATAGCGCTTGCATATCCTAGTTGCCGCCATGACTTGAATCGAATGCCCCGTTACGTCACAGTAGATTTTGATTTTGCAATTTGCATCAGTGGACCGATGCGAGCGTCCGCAATCTGCATGCGATGCATCGCTCATCGCTCTTTCGTTACGTGGGCTCTAAAACAATAGATTTGATGATGTCACAGTAGATTTCACGCGGAAAAGGACTCGGGACCGATGCATTCACTGATGCAAAATGGCTGAAAATCGATGCAAACCAAATCTACCGTGACGTAGGT